ACTGAATCGGGAATACACTACAGCCTTTTTCCATGTGGGGTCTCACTGCCAGTCTAGACTGTGAACGAATAGTTTAGTCTTATAAGGAACCGATAGGTGATCTTTCCATTCGAAACTCTTCGAACCACACTATCTCAATATAAGACATGGAGTATGTATTGCATAAATAAATAAACTGCAAACATATGTACTTTGACCGAAACATGATTGCCAGATCAAAATGGAATTGATAGAAACTGCAAAACACAGCTTTTACAACATACCTCTAACACGCTATGTTTAGGATTATTCCCGGCTGAGGAACCGATCCTCGTTTCTTTGGTTAGTTTTACCCGACCTCTATCGTTGTTTGTTTGATGGAGACTGTGTTGATCAGGTAAGGTGGTGAACTTGGAACCCGGTTTATGCCTAACTAATTTCTGAGACCCTTGAAACTATTGAAGTTGTTCTATACCTACATGATGGGGGAAATCGTTTTTTATTTAAACTCCAAATTGTTGTCGTTCGAAAATTTTGTGAAAAACCCTTTTTCCTTCCAGTTACCTTGGAAATATTTACCTTTGATTTGGAGAAGTTCTTCTCAATACCTCGAACCCAAGCCAGCGCTGGCCGGGTGTAGCCACGCGAAGTGGTGGCCGAGCACGCATGTCCGTGCTGAGAGACGTGAAGCTAGTGCACAGCCGACCGTTGACTCGTACGTGACCTGCAGCCGCCATCACCGAACGCTGAACTCACCATGCCAGTACGTACGGCCAAACCCTGACCTTGCAGTTGGTCTCCGAACAGGTACACACCCGCGTCCCAGCGCCCCGCTTATGCAGCGCCTGCGAGTGTGCCACCTCTCGGGGGACAGTGCATCGACCATACTGTTGATTCATTTTGAACCGTTCAACCAGTTTCAGTACCAGAATGTGTTGGGAAACCCATTGAACTTTGACTTCTGAACCTTGAACCGAGAGATCCAAGTTCCACTGAACCAATGTATGAATTCTCTAAATCACTTAATTCTCGATTAAGTGAGTTTTGTCGATTATTGCTTAGCCGTGAAAGGGATGTCCCTCGAGATGGTAGAAATTTGAGGTGTTGCATTGTCGAGCGGAGTCTCGAATCTCGATTGGAGACCATGTAATCACCGTGAGATTGATGTGGGTATAAATGTCTTCCTGAAGGTCGCATCACTGAGGGGTGTGGTTCGCTTCGAGAAGAAGGGGAAGCTTCGGCCTCGCTATATCGGACCCTTTCAGAATCTCACACGAGTCGAAGACTTGGCCTACCGGTTAGCATACCGCATGTGTTGTCGGAGTGTATGACCCCGAACACGTAGTGGACTTCGTCGAGTTGCAGGTCAAGTGAGGCCTTACCTATGAGTAGGTACCGGTGTTCGTACTGGACCGGAAGGTTCATCAGCTGAGGACCCGGGCAGTCGATCTTGTCGATGTACAATGGAACCGGCAGGTAAGTCCGAGGCGACTGGGGAGACTGAAACCCAGATTAGGAGGAGATATCCGAACTTCATGTTTGATGTTGTGTTTTAGAGTTTGGGTGTTTTTAGTTTTCGAATTCCGAGGACGGAATTCCTTTTAAGGTGGGTAGACTGTAATGCCCCGTTTATTTGTGATATATTTGGGAATATTTGTTTATTTATTTATTTTGTTATTATTATTATTATTATTATTATTATTATTATTATTATTATTATTATTATTATTATTATTATTATTATTATTATTATTATTATTATTATTATTAT